AGTCAATCACAACACAGATTTTTTTTTTTTAAACTGGGCAGTTTAAACTTTTGCTGCTGCTGCTGCTGCTGCTGGTGGTGGTAGTGGTCCCCTAGGTCCACTTTGAGTCTTTAGGTTTGGTTACCATAGAGTCCCCTTGAGCAAGTGGAGGCCTCTCAGGGCCAGTGTGGAGATGCTGACTGGCCTTAGGTGGTAAAGACAGGGGTAGCTGAGCTGCCTGGCCCAGGGGCCATTCTAGGGATTATTTATTTGTGTTTGGACAGGTGTTTGGAGAAAGCACCAGGCCACTCTTACCAAGGAAAGACTCCCCACCTCCCTTCATTCAATCCTGTTTCACTTTTGACTTTCTGAAGGTGTCTCAGCTGCTAGGCTCAAATTGTGCTGGGGTAGGAAGAGTGGTGTGTGTGTGGTTAAAGGGAGCTGGAAGCAAGCGAGGACACACTCCACCTTCACTCACATGGGTCAGCAGTGGAAGGAGACCACTCCACAGCTCACAACAGGAGGACACACTCCACTCACATGGGTCAGCAGTGGAAGGAGACCACTCCACAGCTCACAACAGAGCACCGTGGCAGCTCAAAAAGCACTGGAAGGAACAGTGCTTTGTGACTTGGTGTCGGTTTACAAGCCCTTCTTAGGGACTTGTTTCCTCACCTAACAAGTCCTGAGTCAAGGAAGTCCCTTTAAACAGGGCGAAGAGAAGCCAGACTCAGGTTGGATGCAAGTGCTGTTCCTTGGGAGGAGAAGGAGTTCTGTTCGGAGTTCCCACATCGATCATTCTATTTTTGTTAGTTGAAGTCTTCAGAAGCCAGGTCCGGAAAGGACACTGTAAAAGATGCAGAAAAATGATTGACCAAGGTCACTAGTGTGTGGAAGAACCAACTGGAGCCCAGGCTCCCTCACCCCTGTCTTCTGAATATTTAGTTTACTGAACAATTTGTGTAGCTGCGGCACCCTTTGGCAGCCCAATAAAAGGCATAGCCATTTACTTCCAGAAGAAGTGCACACAATTTCACTTTTAGTATGGGAGTGTCTTGGACTTCCTGAAGTTTGCCCTTGGAGAAATCCCCATCAGTGGTTCCATGGAGGACTTCAAGACCAGAGGATCTTGATTGCAGCTGCATGTCACAAAGTGCACAGACAGTGGTATCAGGGGGAAGGCACACAGGGAAAAGGGGAACAATGTGTGTTGGGGGTATCGGCAGACAGCTTGAATCTTATTGTCCAGTGATTTCCCTGTCCATGGGGTACTGGAGAAGTATCCATACCTGTAACCTAGGGGTCCAGCTGAGCCATTAAGCTCTTCAGCATCCCTTCCCTGGTCTGGCTCAGCAAGCTCACAACAGGGAGTCTGGTCTTTGCTCTAGAACATTCCCAAGGGCTGGTCCTCTTGGTTGGCTCCCCTGCCTTAGGGCCCCCTATTCCCAAGTCCCCTTTCCCAGTTTTGGCCTCATCTGACTGGTTCATGTACACAAATACTGTTTGTCTCTTTCTCAAGTGCTGTTTAAAGTTTAAGCTAGTCCGAGGACTGCTGAGCTCTCTTAGCCTGTTTACTTTCAGTTTAGGAAGCAGTTAGCTACCCGCACCCTCTCCCTGTTCTCTCCTGGCTCCCCCCTCTGCCGCCTAGTAGTAAGCAAACCTATTTTCTCAATATTTAAATGTTCTCAATATTTAAATGTTCTCAATATTTAAAATTACTGGTGAAGAGCTAATTATTCTATCTTCTTTACTCTTAGGGGCTATACAAGCAATAAATAAGAACCAAACCTGTTTTCTACATGATCTGGCAGAGTAGTGGTTTCCATCGAGGGCAGATGCCCAGAAACACGGTGTTTTTTGAAAGTAGAAATGCATCCTGTGTGTGTGTGTGTGTGTGTGTGTGTGTGTGTGTGTGGCTGTGTGTAGCTGTGTGGCTGTGTGGCTGTGCTGAAGAAAACTCAGCATTATTTGACAAAACCAAAACAACCAACAAAAGACCAGTGCCTAATTCTCTCATGGAGGAGCTACTCCTAACTCCAAGCACTAAAATCAGAAGGCTTACAGAGGAGCCACAACAACAAAAACAAAGCAACAACAACAACAACAACAACAACAACAGTCAAGAAACCATGGCAAACCCTCCGCCAGCATTTGCTGCTGAGAGCCTAGGACTCTTTCGGTGACAGAGGCTATGAAACCGTGGCAAACCCTCTGCCAGCATTTGCTGCTGAGAGCCTAGGACTCTTTCGGTGACAGAGGCTATCCAGGTCCAAGGTTCTTGACCCAGTCCCCGGCTTTCCCGGAGGACAATGGGTCTCTCAGGGCTTCATGCTTTCTTTCATCTTCTGAGAAAATGGAGCTTAAAAAACATGTTTCTCCTGTAGTCAAGAACTCAAAAGCCCCCACCCAGGTGAAAAAAAGAAAGGCTTTGGTTAGATAAGAAACAGCACAAACGACGAAACTCATCGGTGTTACACGAAGGTGCTAAGGAGAGGCACCAAGAGTTGGTTCCTGTGATCCTTAGTGAAATTGTCCAAGGCAGCCTTGCGACTTACAAGTCGCCCCTGAAGACCCCCAGAGACATTGAAAAATCTAGGGAACATACAGAAGGCCATGTCCATGTATTTAGCAGGACATTGCCTTGGCTCTGGGAAGGAAAGGCAAAAATAATAATAATAATAATAATAATAATAATAATAATAATAAAAATGTGGCCCCAGTGCCTGTCCTAGGAGGAATTCAGCCTCATCAATGGCTTGAAAATACCTGTATTTCCATCAGGCGGCTAGTCTTTGTTTCCTCTTCTGGCTGGCAAGCTTGAATGACTCTGAACTTTCTGACAGGTTTGGATTAGAGGAAAGCTGAAATCAGTTCTGAAATTGTCTCCCTTCAACAAATACCCATCAGTGGTCTGCCTCGAGTGCAGGAGAACGACAAGCAAGTATTTTTCCTTTTTTTTTGCCCCTTTTTTCTTTTAAGCCCTTCCTCCTGCAGAAGGCTGGATTTAAAGGTGAGACTACAAAAGCGTCCGTGGGGTTTTACATTTAGCTTAAGATATATAGAATGCAACTTAAGGGACTTCCTTGCGATTCGTGGGAAATTTAACTTTGTTTCAAACATTTCTGTGAAGGGTGTTTTGAGAGAGAGAGAAGAAAGTCCATTTTCTTTATAAAACGATTATTCATGCACGCTAAAAAGCAGTTTTTAAATTGCTTTGTATAAACACATGCTTAGATTAACTATTTTTGAATCTAAAATTTCTAATGACGTGGATTATTTCCATTTTCTTCGACATGAACTGTGCTACCCACTGACAGCAGGAAAATGTAAGTGACCCGTAGTTGAAGTGTTCACCTGCGCAGCTCTGTGACAGTAAAGAACTGTTTTGCACTTCAGAGTTATCCACAAAAACAGGTATTTGCAAGACAGCGAGCCGCTGTCCTGCAGCATGAGCATGGACTTGTTCATGTGGGGAGCAAGATGCCTGTGCGCCCTTTTAGAGTGGCCTCTTTTCACAGCCTAGCTGCGGGTCGATGGTTTAATACCAGAGCTGATGAAGAATATCGGTAGAAATCAACGCTAACTTTTCTGATCTCTACTTCTGAGTTACCTTCTCGAGAACAACACGATGCGTAAGAGTGAGAATCAGCTTGTTCCCTAGTCCGCGAGATCAACGGCGACTTCTCCGCCGAGATCGCTGCTCACACTTTCAGGTTCAGCTGCAGAATCAAGGACCCGGCTGCAGCGAAGGCTGGCGGGTGGACTCCGGCGCAGCAGCGCTGGGAGGGAAGCGTCCTCTGTGCAGAGGAGGAGGGCGCTCAGGCTGAGTGCTTTGCCCAATCGGCGTGCACAGCGCCTGACAACCGACCAATCAGAGGACGCGGAGCTCGGGGGTGGGGGTGGGTGGGTGGATAATACTAGGAAGGGACGCGGAGGCCCGGGACTGCGGTGAGTGACTCTGCTGCGCAGAAAGCTAGCTGAGTGCGCCTGCGGCGGCGGGGGCCTGGGTGGGAGCCCCACCTTTCCTGCCCAGTTTGAACCAGAAGTGAAAAGCGAAGTGAAGCGATCCAGACTGCAGAAGTCCGAACAGAACTTTACAGAATTTGGGATGTGCGGGGTGAGGTTGCTGAGGACTTGACTCACCTCCTGCCTCTGTCCCTCCCCACCATCCAGTGGGCTCCGACCTCCTGCTGCCAGACTCCTTTTCTCAGTTTGCTCCTGCTGCTTACAGCTCCAGAGAGAAAAATCCTAAAGCTGGATATCTTTTAACTGGGTTGCTAGCCTGGGCCTCTGAGTCTTGGTGAGTGTTGTGATGTCGCCGGTCCGGAGTCAGGGAGGGCATGGGGAGCATGAATCATCATTACTGATTCTTTCTGTTTCTGGTTGTCTTGCCTTAAAGATGAAAATCAAGTTCCATCAACCCCGTGCGGCCAAACACTGCTGATGCCAGATCAGCTTCTGCAGCTTTATGGCCTGTGTGTGTCCCCCACTCGCTGTGTGTGTGTGTGTGTGTGTGTGTGTGTGTGTGTGTGTGTGGGGGGGACCCTCTAGTAATAACACAGCATTGGTTTAGAGGAAGAGGAGTGATGCAAAGACCTCTCCAGGGTCCTTGTGGTGGCGCAGGTCAATGAGGGACATTTGGGAAATGTGATTTCAAGGTTCCTTGTAATCAAAGGAAAGATAATTGTTCCATCAACAGTTTTATACGCATTATGGCCGTGCTAGCCGGCTATGGAAGAGCTTGACAAGTGGCTTAAACGGGCGAGTGTGTAAGGTCAGTGGGTGACTTGTCTGGAAAGGCCAGACAGGGCTGCGGTTAAAGGTCAGGTGCACAGGCCACTCGGAATTAGTAAATTAAAACCTGCCTTGAGTTGTGTGTGAGTCTCAGGGTCCATGTGGCCTGTATTGTAGGGACCAGAAGGAAACTGGGTAACTTCTGGCCTTGAAGAAGTTCTGGGCCAAGGCTCAAGAGAGGGTCCCTGATTACGGGCGGGTTTTTGGTCCTTTCTGTCTCCCTAGAGTGTCGGCAAAGGAGAGCCTAGCGCCATGACCGAAGGGCAGGCAGTCCCGGGAGCCGGAGACTGGGAGATCGACGTGGAGAGCCTAGAGCTGGAGGAGTATGGCTGTGGGGCTCCTCTGCGTGCCACGCCTCAGGGAGCAAGTCCATCAGCGGCTGATAGGGACGTCGAGGAGGACGACGACGAAGACGAGGAGGATGAAGACGCAGAGGACGAGGGTGACGGCGAGGAGCCGGGAGCGTCCCCGGAGGTGCCGGGCCGGCCAGAGCAGCCTCTCAAGGGCCACAAGCGCTTCTGTCGCTGGCGGGACTGCCAATGCGCTAACTGCCTGCTCGTGGTGGAGCGCCAGCGTGTCATGGCCGCCCAGGTGGCGCTCCGGAGGCAGCAGGCTACCGAGGTGGGTGCTCTTAGGCCAGGGGTGCGTCTCGAGGGTGCGTGCCCCACCAGAATAAAAATCCCTTAACAGCAGGAGAGGAGCAGATACTCTGCCCACGGGCGGCCTGCGGGCCCAGGAGGGAAAGCTGTGGGCATCGCTGCAAAGCATGCTAGGAAAGTCTCCCACTAAAACGCAAAAGATGGCCTTGGAAATAATCAGGCACATTTGGGACACCACGGAAAAGTCATTAAACTATTTCAGGGCTAGTTTTGCAGGTGGTCGGGGAGGGAGTAGAGTGCGGTGCCTCCAGTCACTGTGTTAATAACGCCCACAGAGAATAAAGCAGCACGAGGTGCTGTCACTGTGCTGTCACCTTGACACTCAGGCAGAACTTGATGCCCATTTTCCAGAGGAGACAAAAAGTAAGAGTAAGAGCCCCTCAGCGCATGGCTGCTCGGGACTTCAGGTTCTGAGTTCAACCTCTTTCCTGGTTGGGGTAGATCCTGCTCTGCCTTGCTAGGCTTCTCCTCAGCTCGCTGGGTTGGGAGCAACCTAGCGGCGAGTTTTCAGGCTAGTGTCACTTTGAGATTCATGTATTGCCCTCCTCCAGAGGACAAGACAAACACAGAAGTCTCCCCAGTCTCTGGCACCCCATCATGTCTATTCCACCTAGGGGAGAAACCGCCTGGCTTTTTGGTCCTCAGAGGCAGTTTCTGGGCACCTTCAGCTTAGTGGATGCGACCTAGGGAGGCAACCACCCCACCCGAAACGCAGTTCTTCCAGGCTGGATTCCTAAAGTCTCCTTGTCTGTGGATCTCACCTCTGTCTAGATGTCTCTTTAAATGTCTTGCAGAGTGATAGCCGGAGAAAGCAGGAGTGACTGACCCTCTAGCTGGCTGAGCAGAGATTAAGGGGCGCTCCCATTAATTTTCTTTGGAATATCTTTTCATAAGAGATGGCAAAACAAATACGTTTTAGGTTGGGGAGCGCTCTAGAGGCTTTGTGGATGCCCTTCCCCCACTCCCATGGTTGTTTCTTGTGTTTACAGGACAAGAAGGGGCTTTCCGGGAAACAGAATAATTTCGAGCGGAAAGCAGTGTACCAGAGGCAAGTCAGGGCGCCAAGTTTGCTGGCCAAAAGCATTTTAGAAGGTAAAATAACGTCAAGTTGTCCTTTGGCTTTTAAAATCGTGTTGAAGGATGCTTATCATTTAGACGCATGACATTTGTATTAACCCGGGAAGGAGCCAGTCTTCATTAGAAAGTTTGCCTCGGGGAAGGGAACTCATATTTAGAAAATGCATGCCACATACTCGCAGAGGGTTTTGCCACCAGGATAATATTATCCTCTGACTAGTTAATGTGCTCCGCTGCAGCGCCTGTGAAATTTGCTTCAGTGTGAGGGACATACAAAAATGCACCGTCAAGTGATCCCGGAAGCTACCTTTGGGAAGGAAAACAATTATAACTCACTCCACCCTACTCTCTTAGTTATTGAAGGAGCTTAATGGGCAGAGTAAGCGAAGCAACAAGATTACAGCTGTGACCAAGAGTCGCCTACCTGTGGCCTCAAGTTTCACTATTTAGCGTTGTTCTGTTTTCCTCCTTGGGAATCTAGATGCCCGCTGCTCCCCCACACTCCCTCCCTACTGTTTTTGTCGGTCAAGGCTGTAGGATGGGAAAGGATTGGAATCACACAAGCAAACTGGAGGTTGCTGCTAGTCTAGATCTCCCCTTGCCTTCATTTTCCACAAATCTTAGAGACACATTTATTCTTCTTAAACTAGTGATGCTTTTCTAAAGCATTTGGATTTAGGCATGGTGTTTATTTATTGACTGGTGATTTGTCCATCACCATTTTCCTTAACTGTCTTTACATTTCCCTTGCCTTTATCCAACTTGAAATTACTTTAATCACTGCCACTTCCTACAGTTCAGCTTAAATAGAAGGGTTTCCTTCCTTGAAGTGGGCAGTTGAGTTCTTTTTTTTTTTTTTCTTCTGAGGCTTCTGAGTTTAGCTAGTCCTGGACAAATTTAACGTTTGTGTCTCAGTCTATGCTGTGCACGTCTGACTTTTGAACTTAGTTGCAAAGTAGCTAAGTAAACATTTACAACCATAGGGACCACATTGATAAATTGAAACTTTTGGCAAAGCTAGAAATGGAAACAATAGTTTTCAATTTTTATTTTATTTGCCAGGGAGTATAATGGGATTTGCCACTGTGTAAATACAAACACCACACTGGGTCCTGCAGAAAAATCTGCTAGTGCCTGAGTGTTTGGGAGTGGTGAAATAAATACTCCAAGCATCCTACTTATGTTCTACTAGCTTTTGTTTTTGATTTTGTCTCTATTTCTGAACTGTGCATGGCTTCATCTGCATCTTGTTCAGCCCTTTTGGTATTTGGCCAACATGAATGCACTTGGGGGGGATGATTGAGATCTGTAGCTGGAGATGCTTCATCTGCAGCCCCCATTGTTTTGTCTTGCTTTGTTTGTTCAAGAGGTCAAGGGGAAGCCTGGCTGAATTGTTAGGTGCTGTGTGTTTGGACTAGTTAATAGTTCTTTAGTTTTTCTATTCTTCTCTGTGTCCTCAAGTCTTTTCTACTTTTTCTCCTTACTAATCTTCTTTAACTTTCTTTTTCTTTTTCTCCTAGTTCTCCTTGGATTATTCTACAGCTGTAACACTGTGTACATAATGAGACATCTTTAGAAAATAAAAGTGACATCAGCTGTAGGTATAGATATCTTTTATAATAATGAAAAAAGAATAAAAAGATGATACGGGCAATGAAACACTGATGAAAATAAGGTGGACAGATTTATTTGTCTCTCAATGTCTAGGGATCTGGGAAGAATATTAAAATCTCAGTCACTATACCAACAAAAACAATGACAGCCAGAAGCTACCGTATGGGCACCTTACCCCAAAGGGAAACTGTCTTAAAGCAAAAACTATACTTTTGCTTTCTATATTAAAATATCAGCGATATGGAATTGTAACTGAGAATCCTGTGCTTTGTGATGTTACTTTTTGCCTTCTGGATTTTCAGATTTCTCTTGTCAGGATGTTAATCTGTTTTCTTTGCAATACTTGCTTCTTTTAGGCTATCGCCCAATAACAGCTGAGACTTACCTTGGAGGGACCCTTCCTCTACCTCCACCTGTCAGTGACAGGATGAGGAAGAGAAGAGCCTTTGCTGACAAGGAGCTGGAGAACATTATGCTGGAGAGAGAATATAAAGAGAGGGAGATGTTGGAAACTTCTCAAGCTGCTGCCTTGTTCCTTCCCAACCGTATGGTGCCGGGACCTGAATACAATTCCTACAAAAGTGCCTACAGTCCCACCGCAGGGGAGCTGCCAAGCAAGGACTTTTGTAATTTTTTACCAACCTGCCTTGATCTCACCATGCAGTATTCAGGATCAGGGAATATGGAACTGATTTCTTCTAACGTCAGTGTGGCCACGACTTACAGACAATATCCCCTGTCCTCACGATTTTTAGTTTGGCCCAAATGTGGTCCCATTGCTGACACCCTTCTCTACCAGCAATACCTTTTAAATGCTACCACTTCTGTTCAAGCCCTGAAGCCTGGGGCCAGCTGGGACTTGAAAGGAACCCGAGTTCAGGATGGCCTTAGTGCAGAACACGACATGATGCCACCCAAACCGGAAGGCTCTCTGGTGCTGCCTCATCTACCTGAGGTCCCAACCTCAAGAACTGACCTTCAGGCTCACCAGGTTGTCCCTGAGAGGTCGGCCTTCTCCCCACCCAGGCGGAATTTCTCTCCCATCGATATGGACTGCCTGGCAGCTCAAGGGCATGTCTTAACCAAGATCAGCAAAGAAAACACCAGGCACCCTCTGCCTCTTAAACATAATCCATTCCAATCAGTGTTCCAGCAGACGCTCAATGACAAATCAGGCCTTGAGTTGAAAACACCATTTGTCAAAGAAGCCTTTGAAGAGACCCCAAAGAAACACAGAGAGTGTTTGGTCAAGGAGAGCCAGAAGTACACATTTACCATAGACAGATGTGCAAAAGACCTCTTCGTAACCAAACAAGTTGGAACAAAACTCTCGGCGAATGAGCCGCTGTCATTTTCTGTTGAATCTATTCTTAAGAGGCCTTCGTCTGCCATCACTCATGTCTCTCAGTGAAAGGCTGCTTACATGGAAAGCTGGATTTCCTACAGTCTCAGAGGGCTCTTTGCAGATGCCTTTTCTGTTTTTAAAGTTAAGATGTTTGAATCCATTTCTAATGTAAATGCCGGTTCCTACAATCCTATATATTTCCTCTGCATGTATCTTTTCTTATCACATGAGTCTATTTAAAGATGGAAACTGCTTACTATGCAAACTGTAAGGTTCCATGCTTTACACAGTACTCCAAAAAGCAATAAAAATAACAGCATCTTCTGAAGACCCAGGATTTGTTGAAGCAAACAGCTGTCTCTGTCTAGATTGAAAAGCTTGTGTCTTAGAAACGCATTCCCTATGTTTCTGTAAGTCTATGTGCTTTCAAGCACTCTTAATGGTCCTTGTGAGCCATAAGAGAATACTATAAGCTTCTAATGCTTTTGTTTGTATTTTTTAAAATTTGCAGGTAGTGAGTCAAATTCAGGGCCTCACACATACTGGGTGAATGCTCTTCTTTTTCTAAACTACATTCTTGGTACTTCTTGGAGGAAATATATATTGTTATAGGTATATAATTACTATCTATCTATCTAAGTTTAACTTTTCAAGATGGAGGCAAGGGGAGCTTGGGACGAGAGCGGGGGCTTTTGCATATTGATGTAAACTTCGTTTCCTGTGGTTTCAAGTTGAAATACTTTGAAGGGAAATCAGGTGCAACAAGATCATTTTGTTTGCTCGTGTGTGTGGAGATGGATGGATGTGAATGCTCTGGCCCTGTTTCTTCCTTAGGTTGGAAGGACTCTGTATGTCAAGCTTTAAGCCTCCATTCTAGGAAAGGGACAGTCCTTTGAACATTTCTAGTTGTTTTGAACACACCATATCTTTACTTTTCTGGTGATCGCAGATCAGTTCCCCACATTGGGTGCAGTCCATTTAGCTCACAGTGGTGTCTGACTCTTGAGTTAGTTCACTAGTCCTGAAAGATTGGTGACAATGGTCATGTGGATGTAGGCCCTGCCAACTCTGAGCTGGCCAGTAACTACCTGTTTAATACCTCTCTCACAGGTGTGCCTGTGTCAAATGCTTTCAGCATAGTTTTCTTCTGAGGTGAAAAAACGTTAATTATTCAAATGTTATCAACTGACCCTTGCTGAAGCCTGCAGATGTTTATCATAGAATGCAGGGAGCCTTTTTTCTTCCCCCACCATTTGTAAATTCTCCCTTACGCTCTTGTTTTGCTCAACAAAATGTTCAGCGTTGCTTCAGAGGTTTGATGAGACGAGCGTAAGACGTTTGTGACGATTCAATGGACACCAGTGGGACAGGGACGATTTGTGTACCTGTTTAGCAAGCACAAGGCCCTGGGTCTGATCCCCTGCACTATATAGACCAGGCTGCTCCTGTAATCCCAGCACTGGGAGGTGGAGACAGGAGGATCAGAAGTTCAAGATCATCCTTGGCTATGTATCAGCTCTGAGGCCAGTCTGGAATTCCTGACACAGATGTTACACATGTAATCCAAACACTTGGCGGTTGGAGGGTATTGATAGTGGCAGGAGGATGATGTGTTCAAAACCGTCCTGGGCTATGTAGCAAGACCCTGTCTCAAAAAACCCAAAGCCACACCAAATGAACAAAGCACCCTTACCTCACTTGTGGACCCCAAATCAAGTTCAAGTTTTAGAGCTAATAAGATGGCTTAGAGGGTAAAGAAAACCAGTTCTGAAAGTTGTCCTGTGACCGCCACATGCAAGTACATGAACGTTGCATGCATGTAAATAAATAAATAAATGTAACAAAACCTCTGAAGTTCTAAGTTATCAAAGTCTCCTCACTAGAGAAGATAGTGTTCAGATGTTTCACCAAAAGGGTTGCCATGGGCTAAGTCTGGATATCAAAACCATTTTTTGGCTTGTGGAAAGGGACAGGGGTTTCAACAGTGTAACGGGTTTCTTGCTTGCTCTTGAAAACACTTAAAATCTACTGAAAATGCTGGTGCTACTGATTAGCTCATGCAAATCTCCAGGGATTCTCAGGGTTGCTGCTTAAAATTAGCATCAGTTTCAAAAACCCAAGCCCAAACCTAGGTTGATTTTCAGTTTGTACTTGTAAAATAATACTTGGTTTTGTTGAGTCAAATTTACTTACTGTTACTCTTGCAAAAGCCAGAGCAAATGGAAGCTTGCCAGGAAACAGAACAGAAAGCAGGCAGAGATTTCAATAGCTGTTGAGGATTATCATTAAGTGGAAAAGGTGCTTTCCAGCCAAGTCTGCCCCAGTGTTAGGTGTTAGAGGTCTGCCTTTAGTCACCTGGGGTTTATCTATGCAGTCACTCATTCTTGTTTTTCTTCTGACAATTTGCTTTTTGTCTAAAGCCTTAAATGTGAACTGAACACTGAACCACACCAGAATCAACAAGAGGAAACTCATTAGAAACAAACTATGCTAAACAAACTGTGCTAAAATGTCTCAGTGAAAAGGGGTTCTTCATCCAAAGATGGATTTATTCTCATCCTTCTGACCCAGCACTCTCTCTCTAGGCTGCAAAGCAGAGAATGACCTTGAACTTTTGATTCTCCTGCCTCCATCTCCTGAATGCTGGGATTACAGGCAGGCATGTGCCACATGCCTGTTTTTATGCAGTGCTGGGGATGGAATGCAGGGCTTCAGGCATCTTAGGTAAACCCTCAATACTCACATTTGTCAATATTTTTCCTTTTGTATCCAGTAACCGATTGGGACATCTTCTTTGTCCTGTCTCTAGATCATCTTAATCCCATTAAATGAATCCAGTTGGCTGTGGCTACTAGTGGTTTTTCTCACAATACGAGTGACTGGAATTTTATTGTCCTTGAATGTTTATGAGGGAGAGTACTTTTCTTGGCAAATTTACTGGTTCTGCTGTGATGGTGAGTTCTTAGAATTTCGACCTACCAAATCTATCATTAGCCACGTAATCAGAGCTTTGTTCTTGGCTGGCTGTTGGCTTTTTAAAATCATTGTGCTTCCCTGAAAGCTTCCAGTCTTCAAAGACCTCCTTTTCTGACACATTAAGCCAACTCTGGGTTCACTTTGATCACTTTCGATGCTCAAGGTAATGGATAGATTTGGCTTGATTCATTTCTTGAGGACTTACGGGCTAATAAAACATTCATTCCTTTTCTCAGTTTAACTCACAATACAATAATGCAGTTTTCATGAGTTGTTTTCCTTCCATGTCAATTGACCAGGTGCTAGTTTTTGCTCTATTTGCAGTTCTCAAAAGCTGACGACAGTGTTTCTCAAACTTTAATGGACAATTGGATTCCCTGGACCCTTGGTAAAATGCAGACTCTGATCCCACTGGTCTGGGTGGGCCTAAGGTTTTTTAACAAGTTCCCAGATGTTGATGCTACTGGCTTCAGACCACACTTTCAGTAGCAAATGATTACATTTCCATTACTTTAATGCACATTTAATGCAGTGTGCTGTGGGTTGTGGATACTAATGCAATGATAATATTATTATCATGAATAATTCCATATACATTAATATAAAAAATTTTCCCTTTCTACTAACTCTTTGGTTGCCTGACTAGGTTAAGATCTAGGCAAAAGCCACAGAAACTGCAGTAATCTCTTCTGAGGCTGGTGCCCCTGATAGTCCAACCAGTTCCAAGAGTTTCTGCTTCTTGACATTCCCAGCAGCTTAACAGCACCACACTGGGGGCCATGTTCCTGGCACGTGATGCTTCGTCAGATGCACACAGACCATATCCAAGCCACAACAGTGTGAACATCTCTTTGAAATGCTCCTTGCCATTTTTTTGGGTGTAGACATCCCCCCTCTCTTCACTCAGGCCCCACCAATCTATTTACCCTCTTCCTGCCTTTGGGAACCGAATTTTCTCAGGTAGACATTTCCTCCTACACAGTACCTCACTCAAGGTTTCCTCTCAACACTGTGCAGGGTTTCCTCTCAACACTGTTGTCACCCATGGAGGCACTGATATCTGTTACATACTTTTCAGTGTGAGTCTGAGTGTGTTATCAGTCACTTGAACTTAAAAGCTGAATTCCAATTGTGAAAGGAAAGGCTGCAACTTGTATTAAGAAATGTTCCACAATTCCTTAAGCAGAGTCTCTGAGGTGCTAAAGGGAAAAGAAATGGCTGAAGGTCAAGATGAAGAAATAAGAATCCACAATTCCCAGCTGAATAATAAAGACATCATTTAATGTCAAGGCTGTGTTTTCAATTGAGACAAGAATTATTACAGCCCACCAGATTTCATGAATTTTGGATCAACTTCTTTATTTCTATTCTAGATCTACTGCTGCAGCTAATTTCCACAACTGGGGCCCAGTTCATGGAGCTAATAGTTCCTGAAATGACTGGACTTGGCATTATATAAACTTGGGCTGGTGGTGCCCACTTATATTTATTTTAATGATTATATTAAGCTTTTATCATGTTTCACCTGCTTCCTTATTTTGGCTTCAAACTTGTTTGGTTTAAATACATGTAGAACATGCTAGACAGAGACACCTGGAAATGGGTTGGCAAGATGTATTGGTAAATGTGCAATAATAATAAGTACATGCATTTAGAGCCTTCTAATTTAGAAAGCATATTTGCACTTATTATCTCTGGATAATGAATATGATGGAAAGGTACATTTTTTTTTTTTTTTTGCTGGCCACAAGAATCCTTTAATAGACATGCTTAGTGGGGGAACTAAGCATGTTATTTATGATATTTGATGAGGCTAAAAATGAGCCCCTGGTTTTAGGCCGGAGGTGGAAGGCATGCCCACCACCAGTCAAGATACAAGACAAGGGGCCTGGCATTTGGAGATGAGAATATCCTTACCTACTTTATCCATGATTACTGTTACCTTGGAGAATAGAACTTACACCTAGCAGGATGGAGATTTCTCAATGCTAACCTGTTCAGTGATACAGACCCCCTACCTAGAAACACCTGGCCTGCCACACCTGTCTGGCATATAAGCAGTGATTGAGAGCCTGTGGCCTCTGCGTGCAGGTTGGTTCTTAATAGGAAGGAGAGGGATAGGAAGAAGTTCCAAACCCTTTACCTACCCAACACTCATCAGTCTGGTGAGTTTTCGCCTTTAAACCACTGACATAACATGTATGCACTTGTCATTTTCTTTGTTTTGAATGGAGGTCGAACCAAAGACCCTATGCATTTACATTTCATGTCTGTGATCAAAGAAGCAAGGGGAAAGGGGCACTTCAGATTTACTAGGTGCATTAATGATTATGGATATTATTATTTTCAGAG